GTCGCATCTTCACAGCCACTCTCTTAAATATCCCCTGGCCCACCTACAGCCCTTGCCATGTAAACCCCTTCTGTCCCCTACCAAGGCACCCCAAGAGGGACCCTTCCTTCCCTTCTCAATCCCCAAACCTACACCCTTACAAAACCACATGAGGCTGTCCCCTTCTCTCAGCGTCCCTGGGAGCAGAACCTTCCCACAGCTCCACGCAACAAAAATTTGGCCAAGAACTAAATTTAGCAGTAAAATTTGGTCACCAGCTCTTTTGAGGTGGATTCCAGTTTTGACTGCCTTGTCTGATCTCAACCCAGCACACATTTGCATATCTGCACCTTTTATGTTTAATTTGAATAGGAAGCCCTTGATTTAGAGGAACACGGAGGTGAAAGCCTTTCCCCTTCTTTCCCCTAAATTAAGGGTGGGAGCAGCTGTGGAGGAGTGTGTCAGCTGGCTGCCCAGCCATCCCCATGTGCCCCTTAAATGGGGTGAAAGTCCATTTATCTCTGGTGGTATGATGAGTCCAAAGGCTGAAGTTGTGGAGTTCCAGAGTTTCAGGGGCTCCAACAAGTCCAAGTATCTGTTTCTGTCTCTATTTTTCTGCCTGTGACCACACAGCAAAGCCCTGCCTCCTGCTGACGACAGCACACGGCAGTCAGTGTCCATGTGGCAAAAAGCCGGATTGAACTCCCCACCCCCGCCTCGCTACAGTATTGTTTTTTCAGTCTGAGCACCTAATCGCCCTGCATTATGTGCCCTAAACTTGGACCCTGACCCCAGGGGATTCAACCCACACGGCCCAGCTCCAGGTGCCCCTCATGCCCTGCCCTCCCTGAATGCCCTAAACCAGACCTCAAGACAAAAGGAGAGGAGATCCCGACCACAGCCGGCAGAAACCTGTGAGGGAGAGTGCCTGTCCCATAGCTGGGCAGTGCAGAGAAGGGAGGAGTTGTGGGGAGGGAAGGAGAGGTGGACTCGGTGCCAGTCCCGGCCGTTTCTGGGGATTTGGTGCAGAGCAGGTCAGGCAGCTGTGTCTAACCTTCGGTAGCTGGGACCATGTGATCTCTGTTATTCCATTTGACATCATCAGGAACTTCTTGGTAGAAAAAAACATCAAGTTTGGGGGCACCAAACCACAGGCAATGTCCAGGTGTCAGGTGTCACCAGAAAGTGTCACAGGAACCGCCCAGAAAACCAGAAGCAGGTTTTCAGATAGGGATGGCACACTTTTCTCTCTGCTCCCTGAAATATCAGCTACAGGCATGTGAGGGCTCCACCAAAAGAGGAAGCTCCCCTGCCCCCACATCAGCTTTGTTGCCCTGATCAAGGGCAAGGCTGAACCCTCCCCAGAGAGAGGCAAAATGCCCACATGGAAAGTTCAGAACTGGCCAGTCGTTGGGTATCTTGCCTGCGTGAAGCCCCCAACCTACTTCCCTTTTCATTCAGTCACCCAGCATGGTTCAGCTCCCACGCAGCGTGCCCTCTGGGGCCCCCTTTCAGCCCTCTGTCTCACTCTGGCAACCCCATATATCACCCACAAGGCTCTGAATATGGGCTCTGTGTGTGCAACTAAACTGGTTAAGTGTGCTCCAGCCTCTCCTTCAAGGCCCCTCACTGGAGGTAGTAAATAGGGACAGAGTTTGGTACTGGGGCTGGTAGTCCACTTGCAAATGGCTAAATTGCAAATTCACCACCTTTCCACACCTGGATCCTGAACTCCCATAGTGCCTCAGGGAAGTCTGCCTCAGTGATCATAGGACCCCCTGATCTTTTCCACTGGTCTGGGTGGTCAGAGACTCTGTGAGTCCTCCAGAACCCTTTGCATCCTTCCACCGTTCGCAGTCAGCTGGCAGCCACCTGGCCTCCCCTTCTCCTGGCTCTCCTTCAAGCACCGTGAGGTTCCATGTGGAGGTAGCGTGAAGGGGGAGAGCACCTCTCAGAACCTGCCAGTCAGCAAACTGCCACAACCTGTCAACCCCACAGGTGCGCCTCTGATCTTTGGAGTCTTTCTCCATCAGACCCACAAGCCTGGGCTTCAGACTCTGAGTATGATAGAAAGGAAGGGAAAAGCTGGGCACAGAACAGTTGTGGGCTAGAAGGGCCAGAGGCCTAAGGAGGTCTGCCAGTGGCCAGGACGATCCTTCTTTTATTTTTAATCACAACCAGCAATTTTTAAAATGTATGTATTTGACATTGCAACCCTGTATACAAATGCATATGTGCATAACAGGAACAAAAATTTCACAAAACAGAATATACCTGTATCCCATGCCACGTTCTAGTCCACTTTTTTTTTTTTTTTTTTTTTTTTTGGAAAATCTAGCCAACGTCCACTAAATTTATTTTAACACCCATGAAAGAATCAAAACCTACAGCTGGAAAACACATTTGTCCACTGTTTGCCTAAGTCCAGGTGCCCGCCTCCTTCATGATTTTTCTGTACCCATGTGCCAGATATACTTGCATTTACTTAATAGTCACCTTTAAATTAACTCACTTTTTTCCCAAAATAAATTTAAATAAGAAAGAAAATTTTATATTAAGTGGAAACCAGCATACTTGTTATAGATACAAGGTTACCATAAAAAGTAAATATGATAAAAACAAAACAGTGTTATTAAATTCTGGCCAAATCCTGATGCTTGCCAACACTCATCCTGAGAGCTGTTGCTTAAAAGAAATAAAAGAATCAGGGGAGGTGAATGGTGAGTATTAGAAAGGATCAAAGCCGTACTACCACCAAATGAGACTCTCTCCTTGAACACCAGGGAAAAAAGTAAAAATCTGATGTTTCTTACCATATGAATAAATGTTATTTAGTATGATGACTGCATCACCTAAAGTCAACTCTCCGACCACCTAAAACTGCCTTAGCTGGCACCAGTGCTACTATACATGGAAGCCTGAGGACCAGAGAGGGGAAGGACTGGCCCAGAGATACATAGTAAACAGGCAAGAGACAGAGACTGGGTTTCTGTCCTTGCTCTGTCATCCTCCCCGCCTCACCTTCTTCTGGAGTGGCAGGATTGCCAAGTGGTCACAGGAGACAAAGGCAAGATGGGCTGGAAATGAGGGTCACCTGCACACATGCAGCAATTCCACCTGCATCTGTGTGCTGAG